ACAAAATATACAATTACTAATAATTTAATGAAGATTACATAATGGAAGTTAAATGACGAAATAACGAAATAACGAATGAAGAATTTCTACTATGACTACAATATATATAAGTGTCAGTAAACATTTCTATGGTGATAATAAAATTAATAGCTATTTTTAAATATTCTATTGTTTATATTAAATACACATCTCGACGGAACACGGATGTCGTTGATCTAAATTCTTCGAAGTAGAGGTCGCTACTGACAACGACACCTATTGCGCAGTACACCATGCTGCATCGATCAGCCACTACACAACTGCTACTCTAGTGATAAGATTCTTTTTAGACAGACAGTCAGTCACTAGACCGTGGAGACAACGTACTACACGCAACGCTGCTTCAATCGACTTATTTACCCGGTATGATACATTGAGCTTCGTACAAACAAGATGTTCATTCATTAGCATTACTCGTGACTCGTGTTTTGTTACACCATTCGCGTTACATTTGTGCAATTTATTGCGAGTATATTTCACTGTTTCACACCACTCCATTCCGCTGGGAAGATGCTACTGCAGTAGTGCTCCCGAAACGGTGCCGAACAGTCTCGGGAGTCAGTCAGAGTTTCTGTCAAAACGTAGGCAAGTGTTTTGCTGTTGCTTCTCATACGAAGGAAATATTCGTGTGACGTGCATATGTATACAGTGATTCATTGTCATTAACTTTTACGCGTTTATTTCTTATTTCGCGTTTCTGATGTATTTCTTGTCGATCTTGAAGCATAATTTTTGACACGCATTTGATACACGCGTGGAATAATGTTTGTAGCCTGTTACTTCTTTTTTTTTTTTTGTCTGTTTCAGAGATTTTCTCATGTGTCAGACGTACATTATGAAAGATTATTTAACATACACGTTTAAAAATTGAAATTGAATATTTGATTTTTTTTTGATTATAGCAAATAACGTGAATAATTAATCTTTAATTACAAGTGTAATTTTATACACGTAATTCATTTTATTTGGCAGATTGATAGAATTTTAATGTCGTGTATGAAATACGAGTGCTATTTTACAAAATAATCATATATTTAATTTTCTCACTGTGATAGATGTCATAAATAATTAATTTTTAATTACAAGTATAGTTACCAGTATAAGTAATAAATAATATCTTTTGTTTGATAAATTTCAATGTCATACCAGAGATGTGTTGAATCATATATATCCAATTTTTCCATTGTAATGAATATAATTTCAAGTGAGAAATTTCACTGTTTGTGAAATTCTTCTCATCTCAAGTGAGATGTGTCACTATTCCGCAAAAGATATGAGCAATATCTAGCAAATATTTTTTCACGATAAAGTTCTACTTCACTGTAATCAGAATTTATAGATTTGATTCACACGTTTATCAAACTATGCATATTGCTAAACTGGGGAAAATTGTTAAAACACTTACAATTTTTAATAATTATCATGGCCAGTGATAAGTAATCATTAATATGGATAACAATCTAAATAAACTAATTATTGCAGTTTAATCCTCTTAGGAAATTATTCAGATCTATATCGGATATGTCACTATTGCGATACCCAGATGACATGATCATTAACAGATTAATTGATCATTTTATCTTATTATGTAACACGTTGTAACTAAAAGTAATTTTACTTCTTATTTTTATCTTCTTATGTTTATTTGCAAATTAATTTCCAATTAAATGTTTATTAAATTAAATTATTCCTAATTTCAGTTAAAAATTGATTGCTGTAAACACAAATTATTACAAATCATTGCAAATACTGTAAGAACATCGCCAATATATAATTTCTACAATTTCAAATTAAATTAGCAATAATAATTCAATAATAATATCTCGCAGAAACTTAGGCAATTAAATTGATTTACATCGTGTTTCGTTTTAATTCAAAGCTAATTCCCTTCGAGAAATATGTAACGCATTTTATTTTCACAGTCTGAAGCACAAAATTAAGTTCTGAAAATGTCAACTGCTGACGATTATCTTGCAGAAAGTCGAGTTCCATGAATCTTTGTCGTTTTATCGAAGTATAAACATCAAAGGCAAGAACAACAATGGCAACCTACTTGGAAATTATCTGCGTAATCATCGCGTTGATCCTCATGTTCTATTACTACTTTACCTCGACTTTCGATTTTTGGAAAGTTCGAGGAGTGCCTGGACCAAAGCCCCTGCCCATGTTCGGCAACATCAAGGATGTAACGTTGTTAAGGACGTCGATGTGCCACTACCTGAAGAAACTTCACCAGAAGTACAAAGATGAACCAATGGTCGGGATATTCACGAGAAGAACGCCTGTACTTGTCGTTCAAGATCCGGAGCTTATAAAAGACATTCTGATAAGAGATTTCTCCAAATTTGCTAACCGAGGGATTCCCGTTCTTGAAAAGGTAAACGAGCAAATTGACATAAACCGTTAACAGTTTGCGGTCCGTTGACGACACGACATGATAGTATTAGTTTCAACGTTGCGATTCGCTGACAGTAATGCTGTTGGATGTTTGACAACGCTGGACTTTCTGATTAGAGTAAAGTAAATTGACTTGGGTAAAGCAGAAAGTTAAAACTAGCGAGAATAATAGAAAAAGAATGATGAATTTTTATCAACACGTTAAACGTTATCAACGTTTAGATCAATCATACGGTTTAAAAATTTGATTCTTTTGCGTTCACTGTTATTTTCTTCTGTTCATTCAACTCTGGTTTAAAAAAAAAGATGAGAATATATAATTCTTATTATTTAAAAGTTATTTTTCGTTTCTTTGATCAAATGACGATTACCTATATTCCTTTTGTAAAAAGATCTTTGAATATAATATCTTTGAGTATAATATATAATAGATATATATAAAGTGCCGGTACATTTAATAAAGAAAGTAATGAAGACCTTAGTTTACGAGAATAATGAAAAATTTAATAAAGAAAATTATGAATTTTATGATACGTAATACGTGTTTGAGTTCTAAGTTTGAGAAATTCGTGTTTGTACAAAATTGTTCAACAACAGAATGTCTCGACTTTCATGCTGCAACTGAAAAATGGATAATTCTACACATGCAAAACTAAGCAGAAAATATCTAAGTAGCGTCTCTGATGCTTCGTTCTCAAGTTAATCGGATTCGAATATTCTCTTAAATGTTTGGATTTTGAGGAAAAAAATTATATAAAAAGTAAGAATTAAAAAATTGAAATTTGTCTCGTCCGCGAATTGAATTAGAATTTTAAATTAATATTTCAAACAAATGTACCTCAATGATTCCAATGTTTTTGAGTACTTTCGAACAGGTACCTACGTTTGATTGGAGACATTCTATCAGAGGTATAATAAAAACTGTGATTAAATAATGATGGTAGTATTATTCCAATATCAACAGATTAATATTTAAAATATTCACAGGTGGATCCATTGTCAGCACATTTATTCAACTTGGAGGCAGAGCGATGGCGACCGTTAAGAACAAGACTCTCGCCGGTATTCACATCCGGCAAGCTGAAAGAAATGTTCCCTTTGATATTGGAATGTTCGAAACACTTGGGACAGTACCTTGACAAATTAGTAGCGAAAGACGAGCCTGTAGAATGCCGCGAATTAACAGCAAAATACACGACAGATGTAATCGGTAGTTGTGCCTTTGGCATCGAAATGAACGCGCTATCCGACGAAAAGAGCGAATTTCGTCGATTGGGCAGAGAAGTATTCGCCGTCTCATTTAAACAAATTCTGAAACTTCGGCTGTCACAAATAATTCCGGGGCTTTACAATCTACTTGGTTACTTGCTACCACGAAGCGAAATTACAACGTTCCTCACGAAGACAATCGTAGACACGATGAAATACAGAGACGAGAACAACATCACGAGGCCTGACTTTGTCAATATGCTTATGGAACTGAAGAAGCACCCAAACAAATTGGAAAATATTAGTGAGTATTTTACGATTTCCTCTCGTTAAGGTTACCTATTCTTAGATCCAATAATATACATTCATTCACTCGGTTATTTTTTATAACTATCAACTCAAGTTACTGTCTGTACTTTTCTATCTTGTTAGTTTTAGTTATCTTTCACGTTGTTAATAAATAATAACATGTTTTTGTAATGCTAGAGTGCCGGTTTCTGCTGACTATGCATTTAAACATAATAAGGAAAATAAGTAAGAAAAAATAAACATAAAACGTTTTCAACAAATGAATGTAATCGGTAAAAAATAGTTCCAGCACTTACATAACAAGAGGTTCTCTATTATAATTAAGACTAAACAGTTCCCATGATACCTATTTTACACGATAAATAGCTCGTAGTCTCATTTTTAATTGTATTTTATAGAATTAACGGATACTTTACTAACGGCTCAGGCGTTCATTTTCTTCGTTGCTGGATTTGAAACTTCCTCGACAGCAATAAGCAACGCCCTTTATGAGCTAGCCTTAAATCCCGAGGTACAAGACAAGTTGCGGCAAGAAATAAAGGAACATTTTGAAAAAAATAACGATGAATTGAAATACGATCAAGTAAAAGATTTGACGTATTTAGATTTAGTATTTCGAGGTACGTAACTTGCTATTTTATAGGTTTTTATAGTAACTTGGACATTGATTGTTTAGCTTTAACTCCATTAAGGATCGACGTTACGTTGATGTAGCATTTTACTTAATAATACTTCTTGATCAATTTATGTTATCGAATTTTATTACTTTATCATTGAGACGTTTATTATTTTAATATTGAGACTATGAAAAGAAATTTCCAGAATTTATTGAATATTTTGTAACTTATGAAATTTGAAGAAATTGATGTATTTACAACACTGTGATGAATCATTACTTGATCCTTCATGGATTAAATATATTATACAAAAATAGAATCTTTATACATATATTTATGAATAACGCAAATAATATATTAAAGCAAGTATTACTTCTGCAGAAACATTAAGAAAGTACCCACCCGGACCTCTCATATCAAGAAAGTCAGTGAGCAGTTATACTTTCAACAACACGAAAGTTTCTATACCGGAAAAGACATTCGTATGGATACCTTTATACGCAATTCATCATAACCCAGATATTTATCCAAATCCTGATGCTTTTATTCCTGAACGATTTAACGATGATGCTGTTGCATCAAGACACCCCATGCATTATTTACCTTTTAGTGATGGACCAAGAAATTGTATTGGTACGTTCAACTATCAGATTATTTTATCCTTATCTTCTTTTAATCCCTTGGACTTGGAAGTTATTTTTATATTTTCTTTTTTTTTATGCAACAACTCGATAATTATAAACGCAATTTATTAAATTAAATTCAGGATTATTTAATCTATTTAATCTATTGTAGTTAAACATTAAATTTTATCTTTTTTGAGAATGAATTTATTTACATATATATGTTTGTGTTTTATAATATTTTATAAAAAGTGATTACTTTTGATTGCTTTTGCAATTTAAAAAATGTGTAGAAATATTATTCTTAAATATAATTATGCAAAATCAGAGGATATAATGATAAATCCGAGTTGTTAAAAAAAATGCTAATATAATTGGTATTCCAAGTGCAAAGGATTTCGAAGATACAATATTAAATTAAATATAAAAATGATATAAAAGAATGATATATATGTACATTACATATTATATATTTAATATGTACAATATTACAGGAACTCGATTTGCAGTATATCAATCTAAAGTTGGCCTAATAACAATACTTCGTAATCACAAAGTTGAAGTTTGTGACAAAACAATGATTCCATATGAAATTAATCCAGGTGCCTTGCTATTAGCGCCGAAAGGGGGAATATATTTAAAAATAATCAAAGTAGAAAATTAATGTTAGATTTTTACTCTCTTAAAATATTTTATATACTTCTATACATATTTATTAAATTACGAGAACTCAATCGAGGTAGTATCGAGTTGTTAATCATGTTTTGTAAACATAAAAATTGATATATTTTCGTTATTTATTGTAAATGACTAACTAAGCAAAGTATCAGATTTAATGATATATTTTTGTAACAATTACGGGTGATAAATAAAATTTAAACAGATATTAATTAACAATCTTATGAATTTTCCCATCCCAACTTCTGATAAATTTTGATGAATTGTGCATTAAATGTAAAATTTATTCTGTATTTTTCAATTATTTTTGTATATAGAATAACCTTTTAATAATTATTCGCTCTTATCCAATATACATGAAATAAGTATTAATAGCATACTAAATAATACTGATGGTATAATTAAAAAAATAAAATTTAATTAAATTAAAAAGGTATAAAAATAAATTTAACGTTACCGAATCTCGTTAATGGCGTCTATATTTGAATAATGGCGTCTACATTTAAACTGCTACCTCTTTCATGTCATATCTGCATTCAACCACACTCAACCAACAATCTGTACATTAAAAAAAAATCAAAAATATAAAACAAACAAATAAAAGTATTATTAATTGTATTAAAATAAAGCAATAATCGAATTCAAATTCTGTATTATTTCAAATTCCAAATACAAGCTACCGACATCGCTAACGGTCAAATAGATAGTAAAAGAAAAAGAATAATTATCTATTCGAGATACTCGAATGTTAAATTACTAAACAAATACATATCAATCAACTAATAATATGTATTGAAATTATTGTACAATTAATAAATAAGTTATATTATGTACCGAGAACGAAAACGCGATACATCCTTCTATCACGACTTTTAACACTTGACTAATGCCTCGTCCTGTGACGTCGCGTGACAGACGTCTTCTATTGGTGGAAATTTCCAATTGGTGGAGATGTTTAACTGGATAAGCGGGAAATCGAGTTACAAAATTTGAAATCACAAATTCTTGGGATAGTCATTATTCAAGATTAAATGTAAAAAAAAAGTTATTAATAAAAGTTATATGTAAATTTAAAACATGAATATCTTACAATACGTGTACATTAATTTAATTTGTCAAATGAAATTCATTAATTTGACCGCCTTATTGTTTCTTTTTTACATGTGACTCTATTAATTCACTGTAGAATAAAATTATACTGAGTAGTTTGAATTACAAATTTACTATGCAATTGTAAATTATTTTTGTAAAGTATTTCAGAATTCAACATAAAATCTTGGTTTTTTCCAACGATCAGCGTTTCAAAACACGTGACATGGTATTATACTTTTATTTTTTCATTTCATATTTAATAATCATTCATAATTTCATTAAATAGAATTTAATACAATTGTGATATCTACGCCAAATACTTCTTTTTAAGCTATAAATTTTCTATTAATATAGATAAAAATTAATTCAAAACATTCATTATATTATATACATAAATAAGTATTAGTAGCATATGTTGGCAATATCGTGTTTTTCTAATAAACTCATTCCCGCAGTTAACTTCTCGGTTGTAGAAAAGAGGGACACTGAATAATCGAATGACCATGAGGTTAGGTTCTATGAATCTGCACCGTCCAGTTCTGTGTCGGAAGAAGGTGCGAGGTGATTAATACATCACCGTGGGAACGTTAATTTGAAAAAGCGATATAAAGGATGGAGATCATCGACTGACGAGTCATTTGATGTAGGTGACTTACACCTACATCGTTCCGTCCTTCGTTATATTTATTGAATTCATTAGAAAATTTTCTGCAACATCACAATACAAAATAAAATGGAACATGAAATTAAGGGAACCAGTGATATTCTGCACAAGTCAAAACGAAAAGATATTGCTGTAAACGAGGAACTGGAATACTGGATGACTCGGCTACCGGAAGCTTTGAAAAACATTCCCATAATACATCTGGCAATACCCGGTAAGTTTCGAAATATTTTCCTGCTTCATGAAAATCTATATTTGAAATTAAAAAAGATTGATATTAATATTTCGGATATTTGCGAGAAGCTCATTGAATTCTATTAAATTCAAAGGAATTGATTAATATCGATACGTTAATGGATTGTAATGATATAGATAATAAATAATAAAATTAAAATAAAAGTTTAGAATTTCTACAATATTTGAACATGTACAACATTTTTAAATAAATTGTTAAATTGTTTTTTTACAAGTTGAATTTTTGAACCGCATCGAGAATATGTATTGATGATGACCGTTTCACACAATTATATTGACCTCAAAATTATAAATTTAGTACATGTAATATAAATTGATAACTTCTAATAGGTTCTCATGATACGATGACTTACACTATAAACCGGCACAGTGATGTGGGGCCCGATGAGCCGAGGTATATCAGAGCTCTTGGTCGTTATTGTTCGTTCGTCTCAAAACCCATTATATTTAATTGGTCTATTACGCAACATGACAACATTAAGGATCAGCTGGATGGTGGAATTCGATATCTAGACTTACGTGTCGCGACAAAGCCAACGGATGGGAATATCTATTTTGTTCATGGCCTGTACGGATCGAAAATATATCAGCCACTTCAGGAAATAGCAGAATGGTTGTCCTATCATAATAACGAGATCGTAATCTTAGATTTTCAACATTTCTATTCGTTCTCAGAAATAGATCATCGCCATCTCGTTGAAACGATTTTTCAAGTATTTCAAACGAAATTATGTCCAATAGCATCTATATTTGATCACATTACACTAAACTGGCTTAATCTGGAAAAGTACCAAGTTATCGTTATTTACAGAAATGCATATGCACAAAATTATTCGAATTTCTGGCCAAGTGGTCTATGGCGTACTCCATGGCCTAACACTGTTCACGTTAACGAGCTTATAAACTTTTTGGATATCGAACTGAAAGCACGACCATTAGAAGTCGGTTTTATATCACAATGCCTCTTAACACCTGACATTTCTTATGTATTGAAACATCTATGCGGAACATTACAAACAGATTTAGTACCATCATGCCAGAAAGCAATTCTTCCATGGATAAATCAAAAGCGACCTGGCCGTGGTGGCTTAAATATCGTTATAGCTGATTTTATATCCGATAACAATTTTTTATTTTGTAAGGCAATTATCAATAGTAATAGAAAATTCTTCGATTCACAATATTCTGTGTGAAGTATTTTGTACTTGAACACACAAATGTACATACAAATTAAATATGAAATTTACAATTTCAATGCAAACTGGTTGTGATAAATTATTTTTAAAACATCGTACCATGCACATTTTCAATGAAAATTTATTTTACTTCTAAAGAAGTATTTGTCTGTATATATAATAAATAGCATAATAAATTCATGTATTACTTCGTTAAAAATTTAAATATTTTATTTTTATTCTAAATCCTTATATAACTGCTAAAATTTAATAACAATAATTGTAATATTAATTGCTGCAATACATTGCTTATTTATATATGTTTTTGAACTTTGTAAATGTAATACTATAAAATAACAATGATTTACTTAAAAAGTGTTTATGAAAAAATGTTTTAAAAGTAACATTTACGATATTTAATTAATTCGGAAATTTAAAATGAAATTTCACATTTATACATTTAGTTCATACTGATACATACTGAAGTAATATTTAACATTGTATTATTGCTAATCCTTTGCACTCGAATCTTTTTCGACTAAAACTTACAATGTCTGAGAGAAATACTTCGAGTGCAAAAGGTTAAATATTAAATTTATAAATAAATATAAATTTCATACTAATATTTTATCCCTACCTCTTGTACTCTTAATATTTTTGTTCCACTCATCATTTATGCTCTATTTTATTTGATTTTAATTAATTGAATTAATGTACATGCGTATTATGTAGAAACTTAGTAATCAAAAGAATACGTTTTAAGTATTCCAATATAATTTACGATTAAAAGGATATATAAAAAATTCTTTATACTTATGATCTGCACTACAAAATGATGGACTTCAACAAAAATCGTATAATATATAATATAGATTTACAATAACAATTATATACAAGGTGTCTCATATAAAGTATTACAAGCTATTTTTTCCGAAACTATTGCAGATATCTATTTAAAATTTTACCACGCTGAGTAGAGCTGAGTGCCTAATATTCTAGGATATAAATAGTTGCAGGAGTGAGTATTTTTGGAGGTAGAGAAATTACAACCTTTGATTTTTTTTTTAATGGAACGATTTTTTTACATTAAGTTTTTATTTAGATAGCTATTGCCAATCCCAAGAATTTTGTATAAAATACTTTCTTGTATTCTGCATAATTAAAAACTTCTAGTAAGAAGTAGTTTTCTAAAGTGTTATGTGAATAGGTCGAAAAATATCAAAATAAATACTCTTTACTATTGAAATTTATTTTAATAAATGTTCAAAATGTTTTCCATTTACCTGTAGATATTTATTTATTGTTTCTATTATATTTTGTTTTACTGCTATTAATGTTTTTCAGGATATTGATATACATGCGTTTTCTATTCTATATTTTACATCTTCCTTTGTAGAAGTTGGTTCAGCCATTACTTTCTCCTTCGCGTAGTTCCATTAAAAAAAAAAAAAGAAAATCTACAGGACTTAAATCTGGATGGCCATATAATTGGTCCTCCACGTCCTATCCACTTGTCTGCAAACATTGTATTTAAATATTTCAATAAACACTTTGGATATTTAATAAGATAAAATTCAATAGTAAAAAGTGTTTATTTTGGTATCTTTCGAGTCAAGAAGAAAGATACCGATTTTCTAAATATGCAGGATACAAAAAAAAAAAATGTTTTAAATAAAAGTTGTTAAGATTGGCAATAGTTATCAAAATGACAAAAAATTAAAGGTTGTAACTCCTCCAGCCCTAAAAACCTTTATACTCTTAAATATTAGGCACTATAATATGTGAAACAGCTTATATATTGTTTCCATAATATATTGCTGTGTTTCTGTCAAATTAAAAAAATCTTTATAACATTTTATACAGACTTCAGGACTATTTGACAAATTATAGTAATTATGACATAAAATAAATATATAACAGCAATGAGATATATTTTCAGGAAAACAAAATCGAGGAATACATTATAAATTAAAAATAAAAAATATAAAAGTATTTTTATTTCAAACAACTTTAAGTATTTATTTTAATTTTTTGCAATGATTAAGAACTATTCAATGAAAATTCGGTAGCTATAAAAAATGTGTAAATATGATTGAAATGAAACAGCTGTACAAAATAATTTTTAAATGCACGTTTATATTTTAAGTGGTGAGTTCATACATTAAAATACATAAAAAATGTCATATGAATCTATGTCCTAGATACTTTTATTTTGGTGTTATGCACTGAGACACAAGCCGTTCATATTGAATATTTTCTTAAATCATTTATAACTCAAAAACTAGGGTAGAACAGAAAATTCACATGATCATTTTTTACTTATTTTATTACGTAGACTCATCACTCAAAACATGGACATGTATTTAATAATCACCTTGTAATCGCCCTAAATTAAATGGGCAGTTCAAACGAGCAATTTATAGCTCTTCAGAAATTTCAACAAATTTTTTATGACTAACTTTATTTGGTCATAATGCTTTCACCTTAAGCTGCTTCATTCTAGGTGCTCGCTTTTTCGCGAGTCTTCGTTGTTCTTTTTCTTCCCACTTCCTTTGTTTATCAGGATCCTCTTCTTGTAACATGCGTTCTTTCTCAGCTCTACGACGTTCTTCTCTTCGCTGTGCAGCTGCTTCAGCTCTAGCTGCATGAGTTGTTTTTAAGAATGCTTCTTCTACTCTTAACCTATTTTTATCTGCTTTGCTTTTACCCTAAGAGTAGAATGAAAATTAAATATATAACGAAGCAATGTATTAAAATTATAAAGTGTTAAAAATACATGTATATATTCGAACCTCTTTAGATAATTTAAAACGGCGTAATTTATCTAATAAATAGAACGTTAATTGTAAAAGGAGTTTTAATTTCTCTTGGCCTTCTGCGTTAGTAATACGTCCTTTAATACTTATGTTTAGTCCAACAAGTAAAACTCTCTTGACTTCAGGCATTGTTAATTGAGTTGTATCTCTAAAATGAAATGAAAAATGAAATATTACATCAGAGAAGCGAGAAGAGCAGTATTTTTAATACAAATACATTAATGAAAATGTATTTGATACTTACTCTTGTTGTTTTGGACCACTAAATTGATCACTAATATATATATAATCTATATAGGGTGAAAATTTTGAAAATGCTTGTAAAACTCTTGTATCTAAAATAGCTGACGCTGCTTCAGCAATTTCAGACATTACATAAAAGCCTGATGGAAGACCAAATTTCTCTCCTAATCTCTTTTCTGGACAATAAACACTAATATCAGCCATATCACGTACTAAATGCATTGCAGTTCTTTTTGTGGCAACTGCTAATACGAAATTATCTGTTTCATCTTTTGCTAATTCTACACGTATATGGGCTTGATCATTCTGAGGCCTCACAAGCTGCGCTAATACTGCAACTAAATCTTGCCTTTTAATTAATTTTAATTCTATTAGCATAGAATCGCATCCAACTCTTCCTGAACAATATAAACTATAATGAGATTGACTTTCTTTCACCAAGCCATTTTCAGACATATCTTCAGTTGATTTCCCTGTATCGCCAACAAGGGAAAAATTATCCATTAAAAGTTGCTTATGCTCCATAAGCCACATTTCTGCTATATGGGCATTTTTCGATCGCCCTGCTACATAATTAATGAAATACACTAATAATCCAATGATCATTAGTATCTCTAAGTAAAAACTATCCCATCTTGCACGTAGATGAAGCGGTATTTTTGTGATTGTTAAAGTAGAAGGTTCATCACTTTTTGGTCCAGCATTTCCTCCAGCTGCGTCTAAACCTTCAAATTCTTCTTCATCTTGAAAATGATCAAATTCACTGTCACCATCCACAATTAGAACATCCTCCTCCTCGAAATCTTGATTATTATTATTCGATTCCTTAAGATGTTCTGTACTACGATCATTGATAGTTTGTGCTGGCTTTTCTTCTTCAAAATCTTCAAATTCTGCAAATTCATTGTCCTCAGGAAGCTCTTCATGAAAATGTGCTGTGACCCATATATTGGTTGCAACCAAGATGATATGAACTACAGCTAACCACAATTTCATTTTGTCTGAAACAAAACAGTAATAAAGAATTAGAATATCACAACGAACTATTTAAAAGTATGTATATAAAATCCCGTATGTATTCTGTTTGAAACGAGTAACTTTAGACAACTTATTATCAAAATAATTACATAAAGAATAATTTTTCAGGCTAATATGAGAAATTTTCCATCGTAACGATTTTATACGAAAAACGTTTGTTTCCAGCAACTTGGTATATTGAACTAACTTCACTGTAAATTTATATAAAATACTTCCAACTTTTCAACATTGATTTCAGTTAATAATTAAATGTAATAATGTTTGTAATAAGTAAGCAGTCACTGCACTATTCGAGGTGGTGACTTGCACGCCACACTAAGCTAAGTATTAAACGTCATTTCCTTGATCGAAAATTCATTGTTACACGTCAGTATGATATTTTAATAATGATATTTACAATTATGAAACATTTGTTACACATAATAATTCTTCAATAATAAAAACATAAAACAATCGAGTGTATAATGTTTCGTTCGTGCGTATCTTAATAAAAAATAGTAAAAAAGGGAAGAAACAGAATGTTAAAATACTCATTATTTATTTCATAGTATTTATCAAGCGATACCATATCGATCGACTCTTCCAATGCGAATTAAATTTATACCAATATCATTTCTCTTTCGAAAAATAAAAATGCAATTCCTGTACCGATAAAGTAAATTTCTTCCCGGGATTTCTTTCGTATTCTAACAACGACGCGACTATCTCGAAGACCATGTCCAATGGTTAAGCGAGAGATCGATTCAGTAAGTCCATGGAAACGAGTGAGGGAAGTTTACTGCGCACGCTTGATCATAATACCTTTTTTTTTCTGTCAAAATGTAAAACGGTTGTTCCTGTGTTTTTATCGCGATGTATTGCCGATCGTTCTAACGGCTCACTCGAATATCGAGCCGCGATCCAAGTGGAAACTCGCAGCCGCCCACGTATCAGGACCGTTCGAACAGAGTGGAAATTGAAAAAAGAGCCGCTTGTCGTTAGCGTGAATCCTGAGGGAGAGCAAACAATGGATCAATACTTCGCAGACAAGGGTAACATGCGAATACGACGAAAAATCGTCTTTCCATTATAGGTAACGTGCATCTCACATCGGGCGAAATTTCTCATCCAGGAGAACTTTGAAAGGTGAGTGTACACTCTTGGATAGAACAGACAATCGCGACGTGTTCGCGCGATGTTTTAGTTAAGGCTTATGTGCACGAACTTCCGTTAAAGAATGACAGAATATCTAGTCGGGGAGTACCCGAAGTAAAAAGTCAAGAAAGCTTCTCGCCGAATGATCGATACCGAAAATCTCGCGTTGCTGCTAAATTTCAGTATCATCCGATTTGTATTTGAAAAGCAAGAAACTGGATAGTAGCATACAGGTTGTTAATGGGAAAGAATAATTATCTGTCGGAGGGGGCGAAACAATTGTGTTTCGATCAATCAACGACCATCCTACACAGTACGTACATCCTACACGTTAAAAGTCGCTCAAGTGCGAACAGTTACGTCAACCGGCGTGTCACTTCTCCATTAACGACAATCGTAGAAACAAACAAGACACCGCTTGAATAAAATTTTTCCTTATTCGCAGAGACGAGAGTAACGTTTTCTCAACAAGTTTTCTTACGACACGATTATTTCGTAATTTCCTTGGTTTTGCAATGGGTCAACGGATCGGGTATTGATTTTGCGAGGCAGTCGTGTGACATGCATTTCACTGTCGCGTTCTTTTCAGGTGAAGCGTTGCACCGGCCGGTCGACATGGACAAGTCGGACAACCAACTGAAAGCGTGGAAAAAGAAGAGCATGAAGTCGAGCGGCTCGGCGGATGTCGTGACACAGTGCGTCCAGGTGGTCGTGCGTTGCCGACCGATGGACGAGAAGGAACTGGTTCGTGGCTACATGCGAGTGGTCGACGTGTTCCCCTCGAGGGGAGTGGTCGAGATTCGTCACCCGCGGGACGACCCGTCCAGCGACAACGTGAAAGTCTTCACGTTCGATGCGGTCTACGACTGGAACTCCAGCCAGCAAGACCTCTACGAGGAGACGGTCAGGCCGCTGGTCTCCTCGGTCCTCGACGGTTTCAATGGCACGATCTTCGCCTACGGTCAGACCGGCACCGGGAAGACCTACACGATGGAGGGCCTGAAGAACGACCACGAGAGACGAGGTGTGATTCCACGCTCGTTCGAGCATATCTTTAATCACATTGGCAGGTCGGAGAACATGCAGTATCTGGTGAGGGCCAGTTACCTCGAGATATATCAGGAGGAGATCCGCGACCTTCTACAGCCGGATCAGAGTCTCAGATTCGAGCTGAAAGAGAAACCGGACACCGGTGTATTCGTGAAGGATCTGTCCACGTCGGTGTGCAAAAGCGCCGCTGAAATCCAACAGCTGATGAACACCGGAAATCAGAATAGAACCATCGGCGCTACGAACATGAACGAGCATAGTTCTAGGTCGCACGCGATATTTCTAATCACCATTGAAATGGGATCGATCGGCGATAGCGGCGGGATCAGGGTCGGTCGTTTGAATCTGGTCGATCTCGCGGGCAGTGAAAGGCAGAGCAAGACTGGGGCCTCCGGCGAGAGGCTGAAGGAAGCGAGTAAAATTAATTTGAGCCTGTCGGCGCTGGGGAACGTAATTTCGGCCCTGGTCGATGGGAAAACAACTCACGTGCCGTACAGAGATTCCAAGTTAACGCGGCTTCTGCAGGACTCCTTAGGCGGGAACTCAAAGACGATCATGGTGGCGAACATCGGCCCCGCAAGTTACAATTACGACGAGACTTTGACAACGTTGAGGTACGCGAACCGGGCGAAGAACATCAAGAACAAGCCAAGGATAAACGAGGACCCGAAGGACGCTCTACTGAGACAGTATCAAGAAGAGATTGGCCGATTGAAGGAGAAGCTGGCGCAGAAAGGTATGGTGCAGAAGCGAAAGAAGAAGTCGAAGAGGAAAAAGGAAGACGAAGCTGTAGATTCAGAGTCCGAAGCGGAGGACAGCCGAGGGGAGGACAATAAAATGGAGACGGACAAGAAATTGATTGCGGAGCAATTGAAAGCCGAGAAACAAGAGACTGAGACGCTTATTATGAGAATAAAAGATTTGGAAAGCAAGATGCTCTGCGGTGGCAAGAACATTATTGATCATACCAACGAGCAACAGAGAGCACTGGAACAGAAGGCGGCCGAAATAGCCGAGAGAAAGAAACGGGAAGTCGAAATGCAGCAGAAGCTGGAAGGTGAAGAACTAACGATGCTAGGCGTGAAAGAAACTTACTCGAATTTGCAGCAAGAAGTGGACGTGAAGTCGAGGAAGCTCAGGAAGTGCTTCAATAAGTTACAAGTTCTCAAGCAGGAGCTCGAGGACGTCACAAACGACTTCAACAGAGACAGACGAGACCTGGAACAGACTCAACACGAGCTAATGAAGGAACTAAAGCTGAAGTATCTTATAATAGAGAATTTCATTCCCGAGGAAGAAAAGAATAAGATTCTGTCGAGGATTCACCTCGACGAAGAGGAAGACTGTTGGATAGTGAAAGATCCGGAACCATCCAGCATAGACTTGATAAAGAGGCCGACGTCGATTCCTGGTGCCCGTAGGCCAGTCTCGGAGTATGCTCGAATCGCTCTAGCCATGGGAAGGGGTAGTCGTTATGCGGGTGAAAATATATTGAACCTCGACTTAGATATGCCGGCCAGAACAACGCTGGACTATCAGGGACCCGCTATCGCGCCAACGATCCAAGCTGTTCTCGAGGAAGCGTTGCGAGACGAAGGGGACATCGACGTGGATGCGTCAAACGCGAAGCTCAGATCGAAACCGCGTATACCATCCACGAAATTGCGACCTAAGAGCGTTGGAAAGATTCCACAAATCCCAGCGCCCGTTTACCCGAAGACGAGAGGTCTCGTACCGAAATAGGAAATTTTTTTCAATGCGTTCCAAGCAAAGTCTGTAAAGAAACGTGTAAATATTGTACGAAGCGCCGCGCGTCGTAAGCTTTGTTCGATTAATTTATACATATTATATACATATAATTATAGATTCGTTGTGATACGCCACATGGTACTTTGTGTATCGACAAGCGCGAGATAGCCGCAATCTTTACAATTCTCTAGTCAATGTACACCGTGCAGCCACATGGTATTATTATGTCGATTATTTCCTTTTATTCGTAATTAATAAAGTAAAAAAGATTATCGTCAAAACCGATTCCTATTCATTCAGGAAGACTGGAATGTTCGTATACGTCTCGCGTAGTTTTTGCCTGTCTTTTGTAGCATTTGTTGGGACGAAAATTATGACACGTAAGAGAAAATATAGTTAAACTTACGAGTAATTTTACTATTATCGAATGAATTTAAGATATGCGATTTTTTTGCAGAACATGAGAAAACTTACACGCTTAAAAAGTAATTTGCAAACAAAAATTATCATTTACCCTAATGCTTTCACGATTTTCCTGTTTTGTTTTTTTTTTTTTTTATTTCTTGGTGAAAAATAAAACACACGGTTATTTTTGCTATTATGTATATATATATATATATTTCTTTAAACATTAAAAGTGCTTGTAAAAATAACATCGTTACTTTCGACTCCTTTGACATTTTATCACACGTATCTGAAACTGCTAAATTATATGATGATAAACGTAACACCAATTAATAGAATTAAAAATTACAAAATTGTGACTGAGAGTAAAATCGCCATTCTCTTTCGTTTCAATTTCTTTTTTTTTTTTTTCCTCTTTACTTACTTTTGTCCGGTTGACATCGATCAATACTTTTTTCTACACACCATCCTTAAAAACACTCACTCCACGCCTGTGCGATATGCACGACAAAAAGAATCTCGTCGGTCTCCGATATATTTTCTTTTTCTCGTTACTAGCGAGAACGATAATAACACGCGGATTATAAACGTATAAAAAAACGACGAGGAAATAAACATTTCGTGCACGAGGGAAAATGTAAATGTGTAAATTTATTGGGAAGTTTGTGATAATGAAATAAGCGTATTTTCAACTTGTTTTTTTTTCTTTTTTCTTGTTGTAGAAATGATCAGGGTGCTTCTGATCAATATAATAGTGAAAAAAATACCATTATATATTAAAACGTATGTACAACGATATTAATTCATCTAAATTAAAAATTCGATAGGATCCTGATCATTTCTAAATCTCGGTTAAGGTTCTTGAAACTAGTAACATTGAAACATCCCCGTTGGACACTAGTTGTAGCGTCCGTGGTAAAAACTAGTCCCATAACAATTGCAAATAGCTTTACAATTATGTCAAAATTCCTTATATAATTAATTGTGACTGATCCGTTAAATTGAACGACATTTTAATAGAAACGCTGTTGCTGCACATAATTCCCATATTGTTGTTGCGGTTGTTGCTGTGAATAATTAGAAGAATGACCGGCGGGTGGTCCAACGTAAGCTGATGCATCGTAATTTTGTTGTGTTGGATATTGATTCGACGTCATGGACGGTCCACTGTATTGACCCTGATTACCTAGACCACCGTAGCCTTGATAATTATAACTATTGTCCATGTAACCCTGATTACCACTATAAACTTGTTGAGGATAATTTTGGAACTGTTGATTGGACATGTTCGGATAACTTAAAGGAGGTCCTTGTGGACGGGAGCAAGATTGTTGATTATTTTGAACGTACTCTTGGTTATAAAAACTCGGTGCCGAAGCCGTTGATGTATTAGACATTAGATCAACTGCTTTCGCCGTGTTTTGTTCGCAATTATCGTTCCCGAGGGATAAATGCGATTTTAGCACGTATTTGTTTGGAAGCTCGCCCATTATGTTAGCTATTAGTCGTTTGGTCTCGTTTAAAATCGCATTTGGATCGTTAGTTTTCGTCAAATCCTTCGATCTTACGGGGGAACGCGATCTCGAACGTGAATGCGAGCGCGTCCACGATCGCGGTGAATTCGACAACGATTTCGAAAACGCCCGCGACTTTTTCTTCGCCTTCTCATTCTCACTGACGTTTTTATCCGCTGCCTTATATATATCTTCAAACGTATAATCGTCATCGTCGTCCGAGAGGTCTAATTTGTTTTTTTGTTTGTCATCATTGTCGTTCTTGGTCGGCTGTTCTTCCTCATCATCATTCGCAAACATGTCTATCTTCGGTTTCCATTTGTCTTCCTCCTCCACGAGATTCTGATTTATCTTACGCCCGGAGAACGGAGAAATGCTTCTGTTCGATTTAGAAGTTATCTCTACTTTCTCTGGCGTCGGTGACTTTATCTTTGGCGCTGCTGATGCTATGGACGTCGTGCCTAGATTAACGAACGTTCTTAACTTTTCCACTCGGACCGGGTCGGTCACCTCTAGCTTCTTCAAGAAATTAATAAGCCCGTGTTGCTCCTGAGTGGTCAAGTCCTTGAAGTTCTGTAGAAGTGACTTTAAGTCTGCATCCGACAGACTCTCCATTCTGGAAGTTTGACGTTCAATCGTATCCACTGCCGTCGAAGCAGCGGGTGCAGGTGTCGCAGTCTGAGAAAGAGCATTATTTCCGCTTGACAATCCCTTGACAAAGTCAGCGGTCGTTACTGGCTTATCAGAATTTTTAGACGCCTCGGCCATTCCTACGACGGCGTTAATGAGAGTTTCCAGTTCCTCCTGCGACACGTTAGATCTACCTTGCGCCACCAAAGCAGCTGCTATCTGCTGAGCTATAGCTACTTTGTCTACAGTCCCGACACCAGGTACGCTAACGGGTTCGGACTTAATCGTCGGTGCAATGATCTCGACCGGCCGCGGATAAATAGTCCTGGGTATATAGCTTGTTGACCTGGCAGCTTCCAACTCCCGCTTCTTCTTCTTCTCCTCCTCCATTTTCTTTTTATTTTCCGTCGCTTTGTGCAACAACTGAGCGATGTTTTGTATCGCAGTCTTCGTCGGCATTATGGCCATTTTCTCTATCATCCCCGCAAACAACTGACCTTTCAGTTTTTCTTTAACCGTTTCGAACAGCACGCTCACCTCTTCGTCGTATAACAGCTCTTCGGCAGAGTTAGGTTTCGCCTTTTCCGCTGCTAACGCTTTCGAGAGGAGCGATACTATTTTTGGCCCGAGAGAACCTAATTGAGCTTCCAGTGCTGTAAGTAGTCGCAATAAACCGACGACTTCTAAATCCTCGGTCAGTACTTCATCCGGTATTGGACTCGGGGATTTATCTTTCACGGGATACGGTGTCGCGTAATGTATCGGTCTGGTACGAGGTGGAATACCTCGGGTAGGGTAGTAACTGCTTCTATACATGCTTCCCCTTCCACGCATGTATGAAGAGTACGCGTAATCACGTTCCCTCATGTCATGACGATCGTAATAATCCGTCTTTATCGTCTTCGTGCCCACATATTCCACCTCGTCGTCGCTCTCCACGCGATGGCGACTCCTTTTAGGCGATCTGTCGCGCCTGTTCGATGGAATCCATTTCTCCGGCGGCTTATCTTCCGGCAATTCCAATCGTTTCCTGATCTCCTCCTTCCGCTGTTGCAGCTGTTCGTTGTGAATTTCGCGCATTCGTTTGTTCCAAAACTCAATCCACTCGGGTTTAAAGTCATGTTTGCTTGGATCTTTGCCCTCGGCTTGCAACTCTTTATACCGCCTGTTCCAAAACTTTTTCCATTCGTCCGGATAAGACGGATGCTTCTCTGGGTTCTTCTCGTGAAACTTTAACGCGCGATCGAGTGTTTCCTCGGCACGTCTGATTTGCTCTCGATATTTGTCCCACTTATCTCGCTCCCTAAGTGGCTCTGGGGAACGTGAACGCGAACGCGTACGTGAACGCGTACGATCACGCGAATAACGCGATTTACTACGATACTTTCCACTTTTATCTACTGAACTGGCTTTACGGCTACGAACAGGTGATCGCGATCTGGAACGCGACGGCGATGGGCTACTTGATATACTCGAAAGTGACGAGAGAGATTTCGTCTCGTCGGAGGGGCGTTTGGGGGACTTTTTCACGTTCTCTTCGTCTTTATCTAAGGGTTTACGTATACTTAATTTATCCCTCGTGAGAATACGGATCTTGAAACCCCTAAAAAAGAAAAGAAGAAAAGAAGCCAAAACGTCAATCCAACGCTTGATTTTGTTATTTGCTTTATTAACGAAGTTAGAAAATCAAACAAAGGAAAGGTTGAAAATTAAATAATGCTAAAAATATTAAACGAATCCTGCTAAATCAAAATGTTATATATGTGTGTGTGTGTGTGTGTATAATCAAAGATAAACATCAACTTACGATTTTGTAGTGTCTGATTTCGACTCTGTTTTTTTTGGAGATAACTTTTCAGTTTTCTTATCTTCACTTTTATGTTTACTGTCTTGTTTCTCATCAGCAGGTTGAGAATCTTAATACAAGATCATTGAACAATTGAATACTTACAAAAAACACAAAGCACCATACGTTGAAAATATAAATTACTGTATACTCACCTTTTTTTGAATTACTATTACCAGTCATTTCAGCCATCTTCTCTTCGAAGTTTGTTACCCATCGCACATCGTAAACATCCATAAACGTTAACTCTGGCGTTTCCCTGCACGTAGGAAACAGCCGTTGATTTTAAGGGAAAGCAAATTAAATTACGAAGATCATAAACGCGCACCTCGTCGAATCGCGTCCATAAACGTTCGTAACGCGAACCGAATTGCTCAATTCGTTCAAACGCTCGACTGTACAGTAAACAGAAGGCGTGAAAATGAAAATATTATGACTTACCTAAAATGGTAATCCTGATAGACCCTCTTGATGTATTGCATTTTATTTTTTTCGAATTGATTCTTGTCGACCAACTGCGGCTGCAATCTTCCAAATCGTTCTTCGATCTTCTTAGCCACTAACACAGATATTTCATTAGCTCCACGCTTATAATTAGGAGTACGCGGTAATTCCGTAATTGCTCGCGATATTGTTGGGAAATGTCTATTTAGATAAGTTATTCTGTGATTATAACTGGTAATATGAGCCATAACAGTGCGAGGGTCACCTCGTTTATCACACAAAACACATGTATAACTGGGTTCGCAAGAGTCATTATCGACCAATTCAAGCAGATATTCAAGACCAACAAGCGGAGAACTTCTATGTCGATCCAGACTCATCTGAATCGTAGTTGTTCTGGTTATTTGATCTTCCATGCCTGGTGGTACTGGTTCTCCAGGTGCCAGACCATCACCAATGGCAGTTGATTGTACAGGTGGAGCTGTTTTTACAATGTCTGACCGTTTCGACCATAATAAAACTGGGTACGGCCATTCGTTTAATTTCATTTTGTGACGATTACACATATTATGATTTAGTAATTTATGTGCTCCAAATAGAGCAATATTACATATATGACACCATATATCACCATCTTCTGTTTCAGAGTATACAGGTCTGAGAGTGCCATCTTCGGCAGTGACGCTGCTCCTCATTAAACGTTTTCGATCATACTCTTCCTGCGAAATACAAACACCTTGTAAAATGGACAGATAACTGTCATTTCAAGAATATATCGCAGAATATAGAAACATATTGTTAATTTGGATATGAAAATAATAAAAGATTTTGTAATACAAAATTTTTTGCGAATTTTTCTTCGAATAATGCATAATGTTTGTATTTAACTTCGACAAATGTATGTTGCAATATATTTGGGTTCCTGACAAATCACAATACCTTCTATCAATAATAGTGCATTACCTTCTCTTTGTCTGCTTCCGATAAATGAGAGGGATTACGTCCTTCTATATCAAGATCATCAAAGTTTTGCATGGTTGAGCCACGTGAAAAATTGTGAACAATTTCCACTATGTTTTCTGAAAATATAAAAGTGCTATGATGTTTAAGAATTATCAGAACACAGCAACAATAGGGCCGACGTGAAATAATAAAAATTAGTAAAAATTAGTAAAAGTGATATAATTTAGTACATTAAGTAAATGTCATAGAAAAATAAATTCCTGATTTATATAAATTATAAATAATAAATTAGAAATAAATAGTACATTAGTACATTAAGTAAATGTCATAGAAAAATAAATTCCTGATTTATATAAATTATAAATAATAAATTAGAAATAAATACAGTTAATCTCAAAAAAACTTGAAATTGTAAAAGTAATATAACTAGTATCTGTATAAATAAGTACAGAATAATATTATTTTATAAGCCAACCCTGCAACAGCAATTTCATTTTAATCACTTATGATATACTTTTTCAAAGTTGATTATAATAAAGCTACAAATTTGAAAGAACTATACTTACCCATTTACTGTTGTACATACTATGATACTTAAACAATTGATATACACATACATTATTTAAATGTAAAGTTTCCAACAATAGAGTGTTTGACCTTAAGTTAAATTAGAAGTTTATCGCAACATTGCATTTGACAGCAAAATAGCTTAATGCTTATTGTTTATACGTGCTGTAAAATGTTGCTGAATAGATAGTTTCAGCAACACAATATACAACACAATTTCTTAAACATGACTTAAATGAATTTTCATAACACACTTCATAATGTAAATCAATTTTTATACAGGTACTTACACAGTTCTAAAGAGTAATTGGGCTCCTAAAGGAATTGATGTTAAAGAGAATATGTTCTTTAATATAAAAACTAGTTTATATCATTATTTTACTACAACTACTATTTATAATTTTGCTGGAGTGAGAGAATCAATCTCCAGCTACTTACCGATAAAGAGGAAACCTCATACTTCTGTCCCCAAGATGCACAAGTACCACAAAAACATTAAACAAAGTGCACCATATAAAGACACTAATATTAGGCAAAGTTAATGTTCAAAATAACTTTGCAATTCTGGCAATAAAAAGAGAAAAAACATAGCCATTCAAGTTGAAATAAAATCATGTTACATGATGGAATTAACACAGCCAATACGAGTAACGCTGTGAGTTTCATTCTTCGTAGGAGAATAAACGAGACTTATTTAAACAATGTGTGTCTTTTTATTAAGCGGTGCTTGCTTAAATAAACTATGCTGCTAATAACATAATAAGAGTAACAAAATCACGGTGAAAATTATGGAGCAACCTGTAATACGTAACCAACGTAAAAACGTTATTCGACCGATTATAATCTACGAAAATGTAACACGATCGGTTTTCTTTTCTTTCGCTCGTGTCGCTGATTTGGCAACCAAAAGAATCACGGCCAAATGGCGAACTCTCGATTTTCGATTAATCCTCCCGTTTAAACTGTTACCTTCTCGTTTTTTACATTTTTTTCGGCAACTTTGCGCATAAATCTTAACCTCTCATAACACCGAAATAAAAGAAATAAGCTCGACTTACCAAATTGCCAATGCACGACGATCACATTCAGTAATTCCGCCCGTCTGGATTTTTAGTTCTTTAATTTTGTTTTCGACAGAACCTTTCGAAGGCCATATCGAAAAAGAAATATTCAACCATCGAATAAGAACAGAGTAGACGTGGCATTGTATTGGATTTCGCACCTCACATTCTGAAAGACCGACTTCAAAAAATTGAAGTGTCACTTGCGCCATCTGCAACTGCGACGACGAACGTTTAGTAATTGCGTTCAATTTAATTACCGAAAACGATACTGCAGCGTCATCCTTATTAATTAATTGCAACAGTGAATAGTACTTATACTACAGAAATTTCGTTGCATACAATAGAAATTAATTTGAAGAGTAAAATCGCGTTTAAATACCAGGAGACATCACTCGTATTACTAAAAATTAAGTAAGATATTATTCATTAAATTAATGGAATATAAAACAAAGATAAAGCTTGACTTAGACTAAAGTTTAGGAAGTAAAATTATAGATATTTTGTTAAATCAATTGTATTTCGTGGGTTAGAAAAAAAAGATTTTAATTTTTATTTCAAATTAGACAACGTACGAAATGCGCGCGCAAAATGATTCGATTGCAGCGCCATTAGTAGAATACGAATATCACGATATTCAACTGTAATCGATGTAATTTCTCATAATCTGTTTGTTTCCAATGTATAATGTTGGAATATAGTTTGTAATGCAGAAATGTTAGTTTCTGGCGAAAGACACAGCAAGAAGCATCGTCTAGAAATTGTCAGGTAAATACAATATTTAAAAGAATGTTATGTAAAAAATATTCACTATAAATAATGTTAATTAAAAATGAACACATACAATATATTTATAAATGGTTTGGGCATCAGGCGTTTGTTAATTTTTAGTAGTTTGTATTTTGTTAAAGGTTTTTTTACCTCCCTTTCCTTGGAAAACACTTGTTAGTACAAACTTCGAGAACCAAAAATGTAAGTTCTCTATTTAATTCTGTTCCTGTATTTTATGTTAGTATTTATTAATTAGAGAATAAACATAAGTTTTGTTAAATTCATTTTAAAAATATTGGTGTTATGATAACTGTTCAATTGCAATTGTTCTTATTTCAGTTATTGTCTAGTTATTCTTCCCCTTATCATTTTCGTGTCACGTCCTGTCGTACCGATTCAGGCAAGTTTTGTACTGCAGCGCTACTAGTGATGAAAATTAAAATTAAAAGATATGGACAGTATTGCCATATTTCACTTCCTACGATTCTTGAACCCAATCGATATTTCTCATGATCGATTTCTAAACGGCAACAATGGCGGAAGGAAGCACATCGTAAAGAAGAAAGACACTGTAAAGAAGAAAGTATTATTCAGAAAAATGAATCTTACCTTCAGAAAGAAATGCCAGAAGTTCTTAGGTAACAATTTAAATTAATATTTGTTAGATTTGTATTTATGTTGTGAATTTTTAAAATAAAACGTGCATTTTTGGCTTCAACTCAAAGTAAGATTTAACCAAATAATTATTACATATAAGCTTCAGTTAATGAAATATTTGCATAATATAATACATAATATAATATTAATGAAATAATGGCATATGAACATTTAAACAGAATATACCATGCTAAATACAATATAAAATGTAATTTTATGCCAACATTTAATTTCAATTCTAACCAATACAAATATTGTAACCTTGTAATACGACTGACTTATTATTATATATAATATGCTTTTACTTGTATTGTAACATTTTCTACTCATTTGTTGAGTCTTTAACTTCATATACTGCGTAATTCTTGACAATTCTAATATTAAATTTAACAATACTTTATTAAATATATACGTATTTAATGGCTGAAATAATAATTCTACTGCGTAATATAATAAAATTTTTTCATGTCTCAGTTTAAAGCATTAACAATTTATCAAGTGTGTTAAATTTTTCGTTCTTTTTTAATAATTTTCCATGAATTCTGTGTATTTGATTTAGACTAGAGTTTTTTATTTTTTATTCCTAGTTAACATTTCACGCATGACTACAGCGCCAACGGTGATATAGGGAATACACTTCCTACGATTCTCGAACTCGAACTCGATATTTTTCACGATCGATTTTTAACCGAGAAGTGGCGGTTAAAGATGGCGGAGAGGAGCACACTTCATCTGTAAAGACGAAAATATTATCCAGAAAGAGTGTCATACAGAACTTCTCAGGTGAATATTTAAATCAATTATTAGATTTGTATTTATGTTGTGTATTTTAAGATAAAACGTGAAATTTAAGATACCAAATAATCTTTACATCTAATTTTCAACAATGAAAGAAATAATAGCCTATATAAACATTTAAACAGAACATACTGTGCTAAAAATTATTTATAATTTTATATCAAAATTTAATTTCAATTCTAACCAGTATAAATATTGTAACCTTGCTAAATTTACTAACTCATATATATATTTTTTATATGCTTTTACACACATTTCTATTGTAAAATTTTATACTTATCTGTTGATTCTTTAATTTCATGCTGCATAATTTTTAACAATTTTAATACTAAATTCAACGATAGTTCATTAAGAATGTATGTATTTAATAGTTAAAATAAGTTTTACTGCGTAATATATACTGCGTATATTTCTCATTTCTCAAATAAAGTAAGCCGTAGAAAGTCTTGAAGCTCGAAATTCAAAACAATAAGACGAACAGAATGTTTATGTTTGTCCCATTATTATCGTGCCTGTTCGAACCTGTTCGTTCAGGATCACCTCATCCCCTCTATTATTTTCTCAATTGCTCGACAAGACGTATCATTTGACTATCGAATTTCAAGACAATAACACGTGTTACGTGTTAGATTTGTAACTTTTCTAACCTACCGATAGCGTCCCATCGATAGCGTCGCTTTTTCGATACTCTTTTACTTCCATTTATATCTCGTTAATAATATATTTAATTAATATACGTGTGTTTGACGATTTATTAAGTATCAAACTAACAAAATCGAGAATTTTGAAGCTTCTCGTGCAGATTTTTCTTCAATCATTGATCTCACTCTTACTGTTACCAGTACCTTGTCTCATACGTTTTTTTAATAGAATTTAAAGTTGATTATAGTTTTCATTATTTGCCTTTATTTGACATATTTGTTCTAACATTTGGTTTCTTTATGTGCAGGTTATTCCTTGATTGCAAAGATAATAGCATAGAGTGCATAGACGCCACGATCATTATCATTAATGAACAATCTGATGAAGTTTCATGGAAAGTTGGTAATATTTTATTCATCTTAGGTAACATTTGTTATATAATTTATATATTTTTGAGATACAATTCACAATACCTAATACCTAATTTCGTAATTATGTGGGACAAGAATAAAAATAGAAAAGATTAAATCAATTAATATTTTATTTCGAATATAGAGATCATAGTAGCTTAATGCTATATACTTTCAAATGGATATATATATATATATATAT